GAAAGCCGGCATGCAGTGCTGCTTGTCTGCCACGACTCAGCCTCCCAGAATTTCAAACCCCAGAAAAGGACAGACTCACAGGAAGCCCACATGCATTGCTGCTTGTCTTTCCCAGTTCCCGCCAGCACAGCTTCATAGCAGACCCGACAAACCCTAAAATGCTTGAACTCAAGGTGGTCTGGGGGTGGGCCGTCTGCTACGCACCCATGACGTCACCACACCCTCAACCCTAAACCCTGAACCCTGAACCCTGAACCCTAAACCCTAAACCCCGAACCCTGACTCCTAAACCCTAAACCCTAAACCCTGAACCCTGAACCCTGAACCCCAAACCCCAAACCCTGAACCCTAAATCCTAAACCCTAAACCCTGAAACTCAAAGCCTGAACCCTAAACCCTAAACCCTAATTTAAACCCTAAACCCTAAACCCTAAACCCTAAACCGCACCTTCAAAGGAGCCCAAAGCCTCGCAAAGGCCCAGCCTCCGCCAAGGTCCAGCCTCCAGCCTGGCCAAAGAGCTGAAGCATCGCCTTGGCCGAGTTTTAGGGTTCAGGTTTAGGGTTTAGGGTTTAGGGTTTAGGGTTTAAGGTTTAGGGTTTAGGGTTTAGGGTTGCATTCGGGTTTTATGATTTTGGAGCCTTGATAATAGGGTTTTTGGGGTTCCTTTTTAAGGGTTCCTTAAAGGGCTTTTTGATTTGGGGTTTAATTTAGGGGCCTTATAAAATTAGAATAGGGTTTTGGGGGTGTCCTTTAAAGGGTTCCTTGAAGGGTTCTATAAGGGTTTATATAGGGTTTAGGGAACTTCATGATTAGAATAGGGTTTGGGGGGTATATAAAACTATAAGTATGGTAAGGAAACCACCAAAATAGTGTAGGTAATTATTGAGGCCCCTATCAGTGATTTCGGGTTTAGTGATTTTGGGTTTAGTGATTTGGGGATTAATGATCTTGGGTTTAGTGATTTTGGGTTTAGTGTTTCTAGGTTTAATGATTTTGGGTTTAGTGTTTTTGGGTTTAGGGATTTTGGGCTTAATGATTTGGGGGTTTAGTAATCTTGGTTGTAGTGATTCTGGGTTTAATGATTTGGGGTTGAGTAATTTTGGTTTTAGGGTTTAGGGATTCGCGGTTTAGGGTTCAGGGTTTCTTCTTCTGTTCTTCGGCCTTCATTGAACCCAAGTCTGGATGCGGGGGGGGGCAAAGCCATACCATAAGAGCAAGTCGCTGTGACGAACTCTAAAGCCTAAACCCTAAACCCTAAACCGTCTTTGGAAGTCCTCAAAGGCTGGCCTCCCAAAGGGCAGAGGGATCAGCGGAGATTTTGGGTTTGGGCTTTCGGCGGGAGGTGGGGGGCTTTAGGGGTGGCTCTTGTAGGGTATACTACGCTTTGTGGGCTTTGGGGCGGCAGGGTTGGGCGCTTGAAGCTTGGAGGCTTCGAGGCTCCACGGATTGAGGCTCTTTTCGGTTGAAAGGGTTCAAGATGTAAGGGCTTAGGGTTTAGGAGTTGGGGTTTAGGGTTTAAGGTTTAGGGTTTCGGGCCTAGGGATGTTCAGCGCTTCGTGGCTCAGTTTCAGAGTGCTAGTACCGCTAAGTGTGGAGCGCAGGCCAGACCTCGGTAGATCCGCTCGCGGAACCGGAATGGGAATGGATGGAACTCCCAAAATAGTATTGGTAATTATTCAGGCACCTATAAATGAAGCCAATGTTTCCAGGATGAGCTTGTGCGAGACTCTGAACAATCTTCGCACTCCATGTCTGTACCCACAACCTTAAACTCGAAATCCCAGACACGGAACCCTAAACCCTTGCCTCCACTGCAAGCTGCACAGCCTGGCATGCACGTACAACTCGGGGACGTTGGCAGCAAAGCTGGATCTGCGAGGTTTAGAATGTAGGGCTCAGGGTGTGCTTTTGGGACGTCGGCTACAGAGAAAGCCGCCTCTTTCCATGTTGGAAGGATGTGGCATTGAAATAAGCCTTTGCCCCCAGCATACATCGCGGTGATGACCGCCAGCTGAACTTGCGACCTGCATTGTTACAGACGCCAACAAAAGTTTCAGAGCCTTGATCCGCTCCAACCCAAACCTCAGCCAAACCTCTACGCCGAAAACCGAGCCCCTCAAACTTACTCCCTAAACCCTTCCCCCGTAAACCCTGAACCCAAAACCCAACACTCTGAACCGCAAACCCTTAACCACAGACGCTCAACCCAAGACCCCAAACTCTGGACCAGGGTCCTGCTGATCCTGGCCCGCACAGGTCAGGGACAGCACTGCAGAGGCATTGTCGCCCTGGGGACCAGGGAGGGGTCGTGACTTTACAGGGGATTTCTGTACTTGGGGTTTAGGGATCATAGAGCATAAGGTTCATGTTCAGGTAGTGAAAGGGGCTGGCAAGGTCCTATAGAAAAAAAGCTGTCATAAGGATTTACAGAGGTTGTGGTATCGTATTAGGTCCATACAATAGAGGTCGTAAGCATGTCTTCATACACGCATACGTATACATGTGCATCCAAATACTCATATATATATATATATATATGGTACCATATATATATATATATACACATAAGAACCGATACATTGACATAGAGTACATATCTGTACGCGTGTGTACAAAGCAGCACCGTGGAAAGTAGTAATTTCGACAAAACTTCAACATGTAAAGGGACGGACTGGACATGCAATGAAGCTTTATGGTAATGCAAAGGCAAAGGCAAGTTGCGACTCGACGATACAGGAGAAGCCAGACCTTGCAACATCTCTTAACTTAGGGATATGGACCCATTATAATTTAATGTGCATTCCATTGTTTAAGGGATTTGAAAGAC